CGGGCTGGTGCTGGGCGAGGACGGCAAGAAGTTCCGCAGTCGGTCGGGAGACGTGAGTAGGGAGGCGGGTCGAGAGCGGGTGGGGGCGTTGGTGGGAGTTGATGGGGGTTGGTGGGGACACTGGGGCAGGCCGTGCGTCGCTGCAACTGGGGCAAGGTCCACCCCACCCCACCCACCCCACACCCCACCTACCCCTGGAGGCACGCTGGCCGCCACCTCTCCATCGCTGCCGCCGCACCCTGCCAGGCCCGCGGCGCTGTTGTCCGTGCCGCTCGTGCCTGCCCCCAGCCTGCTGTAGTTGCGTTTGCTACTGCCGTGCCGCCCCTCTCCCACACCTTCCCTGTCGCCTGCCTTCCCGCACACCCTGCGACCGCAGGTGGTGCGGCTGGTGGAGCTGCTGGATGAGGCCAAGCAGCGCATCGTGGATACGGTGAAGGAGCGGCGGTGAGTGCGGTGGCAGGGAGGGAGGCAGGAAGGGAGCAGGAAGAGAGCAGGAACACAACAAGGGGGAAACGTGAGGAAGCAGAGATGTAGAACGCGTGTTGGGCGGTGGTGGTGGCGCCGATGGCAGCTGTGGTGCGCCCGCCGCCCAGCCCGCCGGCCCGCCGAGCGCGTGCCGCCCCTGCCCGTGTGCCTGCCGCGTGCCGCAGGCCGGATGCCACGCCAGAGGAGATTGAGGAGATGGCGGCGGCCATGGGATACGGCGCAGGTGGGCTGCCCGGCTGGCAGGCGGCGTTGAGAGCCGTGTGCCGCCGCTGCTGCTGCTGCATGCTGCTGGCGTGTGTCGCAGCGCATCAGCCCGCCATCCTCCTCTGTCTGCTGTCCCCTCCTCTCCCCGCCCCACATCCCGTGTAGTGATGTGCCGCCCTCGCCGCATGACCATGCACCGCCTGGCGTACCGCCTCATGTGTACTGCCCTCTTCTACCGCCCGCCCCGCCCCTGTAGTCAAGTATGCCGACCTGAAGAACCACCGCACCACCAACTACAAGTTCTCGTACGACGACATGCTCAGCCAGCAGGTGTGTGTGTGTGTGTGTGTGTGTGTCCACGTGTGCGTGTGCGGTGTGTGTTTGTGGTGTGGCGCATGTGTGTGTAAGAATGGGTGGGTGCGTGCGGTAGGATGTGTAGTGGAGGATCGGCCGGGCAGCCAACTGCTGGGGCTCTTCTCCTTCAGCAGAAGCTCGGGGCAGCCCCTCTGGAGGCTGAGCTTGCGGCAGCAAGCCGGGGACAGCTCAGCTGGCGCCCTCACGCCTCACACGCTGCCGCCGCCGACCTCCTCCTGCCTGTTCCCTGCCACCTGATGCAGGGCAACACCGCGGTGTACCAGCTCTATGCTCACGCCCGCATCGCCTCCATCGTGCGCAAGAGCGGTGAGGCGCCGCCGCCCGGACCCTGCTATGTTTGCATGGGGGCATGCGATGTGGTGTACAGGCTGCAACCGCGGCAGGCTGCGACCGCGCTGCTGCTGCTGCTGCTGCTCGTGCCGCTGCTGTTGCCGCCATGATGCCGTGCTTGCAGGCCAAGCCGGTGCCCGGCACACTTCCACCAAGCCTGCTCCTCACCCTGCCCCCCTCCCCTGCAGGCCGCGACGTCAGCGAGCTGGCCAAGACTGCGCGGGTGGTGCTGGGGCACGAGAAGGAGGTGGCACTCGCGCTGCAGATTGCGCGCTTCTCGGGTGGGTGGCTGGTGGTGCATGCGCTTAAGAACGCGGGCGACGCATGCGTGTGTGCTGGTGATGTGTTGGGGGCTCCAAGGGCGCACCAACACCTGCGCGCCTTGCATCTTGCATCTTTGAAGCTGCCGGCCCGCCCCTGCCCTCCCCCTTCCTCCCTTCCCCACCCTCCTCCCGCTCACTCGCCTGCCCTCCGCCCTGCCCCCTGCAGACGCGGTGGATGAGTGCCTGGCGGAGCTGCTGCCCCACCGCATCACCGAGTACCTGTACGACCTGTCGAGTGAGTGGTGCCGCCGATGGTACTGTCGATGGTACTGCTGCATGGGTGCAGCAAACCTGGCCACCCCCTCGTGCGCCTGCTGTTCCTGCCCGCTCGCCAAGCAACCTCCTGACCCACTCCGCCTCTTTACCCGTCCCGCCAACTGTACTGCCCGCTCCCCTCCCTGGTACCGCAGCCGCTTTCAACCAGTTCTACACCGAGTGCCAGGTGGTGGGCAGCCCGGAGGAGGACTCGCGCCTCCTGCTGTGCGAGGCCACCGCCCTCACCATGCGCACCTGCTTCCAGCTGCTGGGCATCCAGGTGCTGTACCGCATCTGAGCGACGGCGGTACTGCTGGGCACTCGGGTGCAGTGCCGCATCTGAGCGGCGGCGGGTACGGGCCGGGGCCGGCGGCCGGAGGGCAGCAGCGACGCACATGGTGCTGGCCTCTTTGATTTGCCGGTTTACACCCCATTTATTGGCTGCATAGGGTTGCTGCTGCGCTGTGCAAGATGCCAACTGGTGACCAGGGCATGACAGTGGGGGGGGGCCTCAGAAGCAGCAGTCGCAGTCGAAGGGGCACTTGTCGGTGGTGCCCCCCGCCTTACACAGCCCCAGCTCCGCCTCGCTGTAGATTGCGTAGCCCTCCTCGGTGCGGCTGCGGGCAGGGCGGGGCGGGAGCAGGGGGAGGGCAGGGTCAGCGTCAACTAAACAGGCAGGGATCTGCGGCATGCGCCAGGCAGGAGTGCGCAGAGGTTCCAAACTAGCTGCAGCGGCAACAGAAGCGGAGACAAGGGTGGCAGCTGCGGCATCGGAGCCAGGGCAGCAAGCCCGTCCCTCGCCAGGGCCCCTCTCACTTGCGTGCGGCGGCAGCCTCCGTCCCAAAGATGTCGTCCTTGCTTCCCTCCAACCTCTTCGCCTTTGCCTGCTCCAGCAGCGGCACGGGGCACGGCGAGGCTGTGGGTGCTGGAACAATGCGGCAGGCATGCCGGCAGGCAGGCAGCACATGCGTTGGGAAGAGCTGCATCAACGCACCTTGGGGGCTTCCTTGACCGCTGTACTGGAGGCAGGCTTTGCTGTTGGCGCAGCTGCTTTGGCCTTGGCCTTGCCCTTGAGCTTTCCAAACAGCTCGTCTATTTCGCCTGCTGCTGCTGTTGCCGCCGCTGGCGGCACCGCGTTGTCCGCCGCCGCTGCAACTGCCTGCTTGCCCCCATTCGACCCCACTGCTGCCGCTGATGCCGCAGCTGCCTTTGGCTTGGCACCAGCCTGCCGCTTGGTGGCGCTCTTCTTCACATCTGGGGATTTGGGCTTTGGTTTCCTTGACGACGGAGCCTTGGCTGTTTGCATAGTTCTCGCCATGCTGTAGTCCAGATGCCAAGCGATCAGGCTGCGCTAGCAAGGGTGGAGGGGCACTGGTGAATGAGCGCACTGGTTGGGGCACAGTTTGCGTTGGTAGGCGCTGCAAATGCCGCAGATGGCCTGTGGCATATGCTGGAGGCGTTGCCTGCTCCATACTGGGGGCCTACAGCAAATTTTAGGGGCTGAAGAAAGTGGCGGTGGCGGCCAGGCCCTCGGTTTCGCCTCCTGCGCTCCTTTGCTGCTCACTGCAGTTCCAATTGTCTCAGGCACGCGCTACAGGCTCCTGCACGCTCGCTGGTTGCGTTCTTTTGTTTTGCGTTCCTGAGCGCCGCCTGCGCCCGATCCAATCGCAATGGCGGGCAGGGGGCGAGGCGCAGTGCTCCCAGCGTGGATGATGGGGCCGGGAGGAGCGCCCTCAGCGCCGGGAGGTGCGTTGCGTGTTGTGTTTGCCTGTGCTGCTCCTGTTCATGCTGGAAGCGTGCACACACCGATCAGGATGCGACGCGTTCGTCCCCCGCAGCGCCTTGGCCGACCGCGCCTGGCGGCCCGCCAGCAGCGGCGGCAGCGGCAGTGGCGCCTGGTGCCGCCAGCGACGAGGCGGCGGTGCAGCTCGCTGTGCTTGCTCAGCAGGAGCAGGAGGCGCAGCAGATGCTGCAACAGGCCAGGTGGGTGCGCCACTAACGCTGCGCTGTACACTGCTCTCCCTCCTGCCCGCTCTGCCTGCCTGCAAACTCTCGTCGCCTCTTGCTTTCCCCACCGTGCCGAGGGGGCAGCCCACCAACGCCGGCGCCTCCACTCCCCGCCTGCCCGTGCTTTGCTGCAGCGGCGTAAAGCGGCCGTACGAGGAGCTGGAGAGCTCTGCTGCCGATCCGGCGGCGGCAGTGGCGGCGCCGGGCGATGCCCAGGAGATGAAGGAGCGGCTGCTGCAGATGGAGGCCGACTTCCGCAGTACCCGGCAGCAGGCGCAGCAGTACCATGGGCAGTACCAGGCACCCCACAATGGCACGACGGCAGCTGCAGCGGGAGCGGCCGCTGCTGCAGGGACCTCCGGCTTTGCTCGGGAGAGCGGGGTGGGCGATTGGGCCAACTACCAGCCGCCGTCTGCGGTGCTGCAGGCGGTGGCGGCGCAGCGGCAGGCGCACCCGTACCACTACGCCCAGCAGCAGCAGCAGCAGCAGCAGTATGCGCAGCCGCCGGGCCCGCCGGCTGCCGCGGCGGCGCCCGCCGCGGCGCCGGCAGCGGGCAGGCGGGAACTGCCCCCGGCGCTCAAGGCGCGGCTCGCGGCGCGCGGCATCCTTCCCAAGGAGGACGCCACCCCTGCCGCCGCCCTGGCCGCCGCCGGCGGCAGCAGCCAAGGTGCGCCGGCGGCGCCGCAGCCGCACGGGAGCGTGCGCACCGGCCGCGCCTCCCTCTGCCTGGCTCTGTCGCAGCCCCGCTCATGTCCCCGGCCCCCTGGGATGGTTTCCCTGCAGGCCCGCTGCCCCCTGGCTGGTACGAGGCTACCGATCCCACCTACAACACACCTTATTATTACAACCCCGCCACCGGGGAGCGCAGCTGGAGCCGGCCCGCGGCGGCGGGGGTGAGCGATGCCGCGCGAGGCGGCGGCCGTGCCTGGCCGCCTGCCAGCCAGCCTGCCTGCCTGCCTGCCTGCCTGCCTGCCTGCCCACCTGCCATGCCATGTCTGCCTGGCACGCCCCACTCTCCTCTGCTGCCTGTCGTGGCCCGTATTGTCCCGCAGCTGCCGCCCGGCTGGGCGGAGGGCAAGGACCCATCCAGCGGCGTCACTTACTATTACAACGCCGGCACGGGTGCGCTCTCCCGCTTGCCTGCCTGCCTGCCTGCCTAGCAGCAGCAGCAACAGGCAGCCGTCAGCCTCCGTGGCTGCCTGCATGCTGCAGCCGCTGCTTATAGCCAGCCCCCCGCTGGTGAGCCCGCTGCGGCTCGGCAAGCAGCGGGCCGGGACGAGGCAGCTGCGGCTGCGCTTGCCGGCAGCGCGCAATCACCTCCCCTGCACAACGCCTTCCTGCCCGCAGGACAGACGCAGTGGGAGCGGCCGGGGGCGCCGGCGGCAGCCGCCGCGCCGCCTCCGTGGCAGCAGGACCGCGCCGCCGCCGGCGCCGCCGCAGCGGCAGCAGCGCCCAGCCAGGAGGAGGCGCTGTACCTGCCTGCGATGCAGGTACCGCCCTGTACTGCCGCTGTGTGCTGTGGCCTGAGCTTGGCGCACCGGCCCCCCATGCTGCCGCCGCTGATGCCTCGTCTCTTGCTCCCCCATATTTTCCTGCTGCACGACCGAAAACCGAAAACGAACACGCTGCTGCTGCTGACAGTGCCGCCGTTGCCGCCGCCGCCTGGCCCTGCCCTTGCCGCCTGCCCGCAGTTTGGGGGCGCTCGCGCTGGGTATGTGTTCAAGGTGGGGCCGTCGGGGCTGGGCTATTACTTGGACAAGCCCTGGGTCAACAGGCGGCTGGGTGAGTGGAGGAGGGAGGCAGGGAGGGGCAGTGCGGCAGCTCTGCCTTTTTCTGCCATGTGGGCTGACAGTCTGCTGGCCCGCAGAGGCGCCTGCGGCGCATGCCCCAGCTTGCTTGTGGGGTGTGGGGCGGGCGCCAGCGTGCGTGCCGCTGGCTGCAACGGAAGCTGCGCCACCGCCAGCTGCGCCTGTGTCTCCATCCGGTGGTGTGTGGCGGCTGCATGGGCTGCACACCGGCAGGCTCAAGCCACCCTTTCGGCCGCCCCGCTGCCTCAGGCGAGAAGGAGGCGCCTCCCGCGGCGGCCGCGCCGCTGGCTGGAGGCGGGGGCCGGCCGCCGCTGGGCGGCGGCGGTGGCGGTGGTGGCGGCGGTGGTGCCGCCAAGCGGGGCCGCTTCCAGCCCAAGGGCGAGGTGCTGGACCCGATGGACCCGGTGAGACAGGGGGCGTGTAGGGGGTTTAGGGTTTAGGGTTTAGGGTTTGTGTGTGCGTGAGTGAGAGTGTATGTGAGAGAAAAGGAGAGAGAGTGTGTGTGTAAGGGCTGCAGGTGCAGCTGCTGCCTCCACTTGGCTGCTGCTTGTGCTGGTCGTGCTGGTCACCAGCCGCCCCCCGCACCCCACCAGCCTACATTTGACCGGCCGACTGCTTACCCGGTGCAGTCTTCCTACTCGGATGCGCCGCGCGGCAAGTGGAGCACGGGGCTGGAGGGCGCGCAGCCGCACGCGGCGGACACCACCGCTGGCGGGCCGCTGTTCCAGGTGGGGCCCCGCTCTGTGTGGGTGCAGGTGCAGCAGGCATGCCTGTGGAATGTGCATGTGGTCGGGGTTGACAGTTTCTTTGCCCTGCGCCCACTCTGCTTCCTGAGGAACCTGCCGCTCCCCCACTTCCCGCCGCAGTCGCGGCCCTACCCCTCCCCCGGCTCCGTGCTGCGCGCCAACCAGAAAGCGCTGGGACAGTGACGGCGAAGCGGCGCAGGGGATGCTGCCGCAGCATGTGCAGCGCCTGCAGCCCACCTGCCGCCCGCCGATGCGCACTGTCCGACTCCTTTGCCCTGGCGCTGGCTTGGGACCAGAAGTTGCTCGTCCTGCCGCTCCCCGACCTGGCTCGAGCAGCGCGCCATGCCTTTCTGTTGATGCCAGGTGGCTCCATGCCCCCTGTGTCATTGCACTGAGCATACTTGTAATGCATTACAGTACGGGTACTGAATTGTAGGAGAGGTATAGGTAGAGGTTGTTGCAGTAAATAGGATGGTGGGCAAAACAGTGACGCTCGGCTGTGCATGGTCAGGAGAAGGCCTTAGCTGGCAAGCACGGGCACTGTGATGAAGCAATGGGGGGTCACGAATAAAAGAAGGCTGACTAGGATTTTCAAAACAAGAAGTGCTGGTTGGGCCGCCAGGAACAGCTGGCGGCGGCTGCTGCATGGGCGTGCCACTGACGTGCCGCATGCGCTCAGTTGGGCAGGGTGACGGTGGGGATGACGATGCGGCTGATGGACTGCTTGTTCCGGATGCCGGGCACGGTGCCCACGCCACGGCCATAGGACGACTTCCAAATAGTGGTGGGGTAGCAGAAGCAGCCCGCGTCGTTCATGTTTGCGGGGCAGCCGCAGCAGCCGTTGTCGCGGCCAAAGGCCTTGATGCAGCTGCAGGAGGCGGGAGGCGGGAGGGGAGGGATGGGAGGGGGGTGAGTGGCGGGGGCAGGCCAGGGGTTCCAAGCTGGTGTGCGGTACAGGCACCAGCGCTGCCGCTGTGCAGCAGCCCCAGCCTCGCCGCCGAGCAAGGCACACCACAGCACTCCGCACTCAGTCTATGGCTGCACGCAGGAGCAGCAGCCCCAGGCTCACCAGCAGCCCTTGCCGAAGCTGGAGCGGCCGTTGAAGCGGCACAGGGCGCCGATGTCGGTGAAGCCGGCGCCGCAGCGCTGCCAGCACACGGGGCCAACGGGGTAGTAGTTCCTGGCGCGGTCGCAGGGGGTGTAGCACAGGCCGGCATCATACTCCTTGCCGGCGGGGCCTGCAGCAGCGGCGGGGATGGCAGGCGGGAGGCAGGCATGTCAGCACCTGATGGCTGTGTGGTGCCGACGACCCGCCCCGACAGCCACGGCCGCCGTGCCAGCGCAGGGCAGAGCGTGCCGGTATGGCAGCAGCAGCACCAGCACCAGCACCAGCAGCAGGATGCGGGCCAATCCCGGCAGCGGCAGCGGCAGGCGCGCTCACATGCGGCGCAGGTGGCGCCCTGGTCCACCTCTCCCGCCTTGCACTGCTCCGCGCAGGTCAGCCCCGTGTTGACAAAGCCGGGGGGGCAGGCCGCCAGGGAGCAGGAGACGGCGGAGGTGGGGAAGGTGCCCGAGCCGCAGGTGGTGGTGGAGCACAGGCCCAGCTGGCAGGAGGAGCCCGAGGGGCAGTCGGCGGTAGTGGAGCAGAAGTAGAGCGTCTTGTCGCCCACACCGTTCAGGCCCCTGCAGCAAGCGCATGCAGGGCAGCCAGGGAGCTCATTCAGCGGCGTGGGCAGCGGCAGGCCGCAGGCAGCAGGCAGCAGCGCCTGGCGCGCGCCCCGATCAGGCGGGCGCTGTCCGCTGCCGGCACCCACAGGCAGCGCGGCAGGCACTCACAGCGTGGCGCCAATGGGCAGGCCGTTGCCCTGGGTGCGGCCTGAGATGCCAAAGGTGCCGCCCACGGTGCGCGGCACCTGCGGGAAGGCCAGGCGGATGAGGTCCAGCATGGGGCCGATGCCCGCCATCACGCCCGTGTTGCCGGCGGCCAGCTCCACACGCAGCGCTGCAGGGCGGGGTGGAGGAGGGAGGGCAGCAATGAGGGCAGCAGGCGGTCAGTGCCGGTGCCAGGAGTGCGGGCAGGCTGCAGGTGGCAAGCAGGCAGGCAGGCTGGCAGGCAGGACACAACAGCCCGGCGGTGCCAAGCGGGTAAGGGCGCGGCACGCACCCCAGCCCTCGGCGCCAGCAAACACGTTGAGGCCCTTGAGCAGCACGGGGCTGCCAATCTGGCCGGCATTGAAGATGGCTGAGATGGCGTCCCGCGCCTCCACAGGCATCGTCACCAGCTTGCCAAGCTGCAGCAGGGCAGGGGGTGGCAAGGGGTGGCAGGTGAGCGGCCAGGGTCGGGCAGAAGAAGGGAGGTCTCTGTGCGCCGCTGCTAATGCTGCTGGTCCCTCCACACTCGGGCAATTCAGCTGCCAGCGCTCCCCTACCCAGCCATCACCAGCCGCCCGGCTGCCCCACCCTCCCACACCCGCACTCACCAGTCCGCCCAGGCCGCCCTGGGTGATGTTGAGGCCGGCGGCCAGCGTGAAGCCATCGTTGTCGTTTGCCAGGTACAGGTTGGTCCTGGCCTGGAAGATGTCGCCCAGCTCCAGGGGGCTGCAGCGGATGGGCAGGTGTGTGGGTGAGCAGGGGGCCAGCTGTACAGGCAGTCAACCCCCGCCAGCCACCCAGCCACCCTCCTGCCATCCCCGGCCAGCCCCACACTCACATCTTGCCGCCCAGGTTGATCACGGGTGCGGCATCCAGGTTGGCCAGCACACGGAAGTCGTCGAAGCTGGCAGGCACGCCCACCTGGTTGTCGTTGAGCTGCAGGGGCAAAGGGAGGGAGGCAGGGAGGCGGCACAGGGCGTGAGGAGGAGGCAGCATGGCAGGAGGGCAAGGGCAGCCTGGCAGCGCCCAACCAGGGCAGGGCAAGGCAAGGCAAGTGCCTCGTCAGCAGGGACTGCAGCCGCAGCCGGCTGTGCCCCAGCCCAGCCCAGCCAGGCGGGCTCACCGGGTCGGTATTAATGAGGGCCTTGAGGGTGGCCTTGAACGACACCGTCACAAACTTCTGCAGGGCCCCCAGGGCGGCGGGGACACGGCGCCGCTGC